GCTACTGTTTTTTAATTTGATTTTTTTTAGCCAGCCGTGTTACAGGCACTGGTCAAAAAAAAAAAAAAAACCTTTATTGTACATATTTGTGTATGTTACTGGTACATATTTAATTAAAAGTTTAAAAAATCTTTCTGTGTAAATATCTCATGTTACAACGTGAACCCCTGCGGCTTATAGATAAGCACGGCCTATATATGTACAATTTTTTTTTCTTTTAAAAGTTAGCGGGTGTGGCTTATGTTCAGGTGCGCTCAATAATCCGGAAATTACGGTAAATATCTCTAAACTCACATGATGTGGTATAAAGCAAAATGTTAAAAACAAGAGGAAGGAGTGTTGCTGGTTTGATTTTTCATTTATTCCAACAATTTCTTGCCTTTAACTTGGCGTGAAGTTGCTTTATTTTGCCCACTTCTGTATAATTAAGTTGAGGCTCCAGAAATAGTTTTTTAAGTTTGGGTAAAAATATGCTTTAGGCAGCTCAGTAATAACTTGATAATAGAGGGACAATTAGTGGTTTGCAGATTACATTACTTCCCTCTGTTGCTGTGGCATGTAGAGCAAATAGAGGGCAGGGAGTGATTTTCTTCACTGATAACTCTACTGAAAACTGCATTCCTGGCGTTGTTTAAATCATTCATCTTTTTTTCTTTTTTTATGAAGTACTGCAACATGTACTGTAGTTCAAACAAAAGCAAATCCAAGAAGCTATCCCAAAGGCGTCTGTGGTCAGGGAACGATGGATAAGGGTCATGTATGCGGTGACCACCACTAAAATGTTAGTGTTTAGTTTTCTGTTTCCTGATAATACTGTTGTTTGTTCCTTGATTTTTTTCCCCCCTTTTGTGCCTCCTTGAAACATAGTTTTATCCAAAACAATCCTTTTTTTTTGTTTCAGTCTTTAAAAGTATCTTCATCAACATAGCATTGTTTCTAGAAAGGTCTTCTTCCACATGGAAACACTTTAAAACGACCCAGTGCTGCGACACTTCCATGACACCTTCGACTTGTAAGTTAGAGAACAGGTAGGGCTATGACCGAGGTTCTGTTTTGGTTGTCCACACAAAAACACAAGGGTGGTGTTTCAAGATTTTTTTTCTCTATATATTCTGTTTCCAAAACAATATTTTTTGGGGTTCCTAAAATGCTTTTTCAACGTGGTTGCAAAACGTAAACATAAAATACTGTGTAGATGGCGACTTAAACTTTCCCAAGCTGAGGCTGATCTAAGAGCTACTGTATCTACAACAGGTAAGATATTAATGGTTCAAAATAAGGATGCACAATATTGGATTTTTGGCCAATATCCGATATGCCAATATGTTGAAACTTATTTGGCCGATAACCGATACCAATACCGATACTTCCCCCCCTAGACCTACTTAATTGTGCCGCTCAAGGTGGCTGCATGTTGGAGCAGCTCTGTTACTTTCATTCTGAGATTTTGCTTTTAGAAACTTTAATTCCTCTTTTTCTGAATGTAAATCACATTTTTTGGATGATCGTTTCCTCTGGTATCAGATGCTGTGCAGCAGGAAGGATTTTTACTGAAACTTTTTTTTAGTTTTGGACATTTGTTATGATGCGTAACCATGGCAACAAGGCAGTTTTCTACAACCAACAGCAGCTGATTGACATCTCAAAAGCTTAAATAATATCTCAACTACAGCCCCAAATCTCAAATGAGTTGAAAAGGATGTTCTGTGGACGCATTCTCATCTACCTGCCAGCTGCGCTCAAGTGCCTGACCACTGAGATCCTGGAACTAGCAGGAAACACGGCTCATGACAGCAGAAGGACAGGATCGTCCCTCAGCACCTAGTTGGCTGTCCGCAGTGACGAAGAGCTCGGCAGAGTGCTGGGAGGAGTGGCCATCACTCTGGGAGGAGTTCTGGCGGGCATTCGGGCGGCCCTGCTGCCCAGGAGAACCGAGAGGCCAGCCGGATCTGACAGCAAGCTGGATCTGGGTGGACAGATCGATATCTGTGGCCAGATTCTTCGTATTCGCTGCAGGAGATCCTTTCTTCCCACAGCAATCAGCATCTAACAACTCTTGAATAAAACCAGGATGATGAGCTACGAAAACACTTAATTTCCCTCTGGGATTAATAAAGTATTTTTGAATTGAATTGAAATGAATTGAATTACAGAGTCTACATAGCTTTCTTTGCTCTGGAATTAAAATACTACATTATTCTGCATGGTCTTTGTCAGTTTGGCCTGCTACCAAATGCAGATGCCAAAAAGGGGCTGAAAATGATGCAACACTTAAACTTGGATTATGTTTAATGTCAAATTTATTTATGATATTTACTCTCTCTAACACATATCTGTCAAACTCAAGGCCCGGGAGCCAAATGTGGCCCTTGTTTACATCCTATCTGGCCCCAAAGATGATATTTTAAATGTAAAATACTTTTATCACTTTAATTTTTTTCAGTAATATTTGATTATGATGTCAAAAGCACAACAGAGAACGTCAAATGAGACCAAACAAACTCTTGTTGAGGAACCTGCAACCAAGAAAAGATGTTGGTATCTAACTTGAGTTAATGTAGATTCTGAAACTGGCCCTTAGTTGGAAAAAGGTTTTGATTTTGGCCCCCTTTTGTAAGTGGGTTTGACACCCCTGCTCTAACACAACGACAACACTTGAAGAGTGCAAATTTGTAAATGTTCACAAATCTAAATTCAACCTGTTCACAAGCGACAAGTGAAAAGCGCATAAGTAGTTGTGCATTAATAGATATACTTGACAGTTTCTTAAATTAAAAAATGAACTCAAAACAAGCCTTTTATAGTGGTGAGTTCTTTTGATGGAATGGCCGATGTCCGATGTTTAACTTTTTTTCTAATATCAGCAGATATCGATACCATGCCGATAATATCGTGCATCCCTAGTTCGAAACATTTCCACAGAACCCAAAATATCTGAGTTATCTCTTCAATTGTTTTTCACCCACCAAAATGAAAAAAATGTTCAAACTTCTGGTGAAATAACTTGAGCATTGTTTCCCAGCTTGATTGCACCTTCTCAACACAAAACCCAGTGTGAGTGTGTGACTGATTTTGGTTTTGTCTCGCTAAGGAAGTGACACAGCTGCTAAGGTCAACTGATACAGAGGCAGAGGGAGAGAGCAGGTCGTTGTCATGGCGCCCAGATGAACAATGGAGTAAGGCGGTTGAAGAGGAGATGATGTTACACAGTTAAGACCCTTCAGTGGAAATCACCTCTTATTCAGCACACACACACACGCACGCACGCACGCACGCACGCACGCACGTCCTAATGAACAATACAGGTTTCAACAAAAAGAGGAACACTGACTGAATTCACACCTGACAACCAACACCCAAAACTCATTCGGCACTCTCACACCATCCAACTCAGAGTTTTTGTTGGTAAGACACTACAAATCACACCACATGCCCACACACTGCTGACACTCCTCTTCTCCGTTCCTCACTCTGAAGCAGTGCATGCTGGGATTGCGGCCTGCTGAGAGAGTGGCATTCTAGGAGGCGGTGTCCTGCGGGCAGCGCCTCTGGGGGGATGCAGTATGGTTAATAGGCCTTTCATGGCCAGGCCACAAAGCCTTTTGTCCCTGGGCTAATTCATCCTGCCCAGCATGGAAAGTTAGGGGGGGAATCCCTATTTTATTTTTTTTATTTTAACTCCTCTTTATGCTCCTCAGTGGAGAGCAAGGTGGCGCTAAAGTGAGGAAGCCACATGGAAACTTAGCTTTGCTCAGTATCATCAAAACACTGACAGAACTTGGCAACTCAACTGAGGGAAGCATCCACAAATACATTGATTGACGTTGGCCAACAAAACAAATGTCTATGTATCGGTCATATATTGAGCTAAAATTTGTTGTGGTAGTAGCTGAAAACCACCCACAACACATACTCTGAGCATGACATCTTGTGATATCACATAAGAATGTGTATAATGTTATCTTCAAGGGCTGACCAAAACAACTGCAACTCTGTTGGTTCTCAAAAATAAAAAGCAACATGCAACCCTTCAAGGAATTCTAAGCCTTTAATAAAAATAGCACTCTAATGAACAGTTGTAATTTTTTTTAAAGATTGAAGTAGTTTTAATGCACCAACATCTAAACTGATCTAGGCCCAGCTGTGACTAGCCGTTAATTCAACAGTCTGATCAGAACTAAGCTCATTTTCTCCAAACTGAGGTTGTTCAAAGAGTCATCTGCAACAGGTAAGATATTTACTGCTTATTGTCTTAAAAAAAAACTTGTCAAATGAATGAGCCAGAGTGGGTTTCAAATACACTCCAGACCAAAGGCCACATGTGTCATTAAACACAGCCCTGTAGGGATACAACCCCTCCCTACAGGGAAGATCGTGGTGGGTGTTTCTGCACCCATACAGGCCAGAGGCGGCTTCCCACCAACATGTCCTCTCTATCAAACCCTGTGATCTGGGCATATCCAATTATTAATGAACTGGACAGGAGGCTCTACTCATTTCAGAGTGTGCTGATTGAAGTGAAGAAGAGAATTCCAGAGTGGGCACAGAGGGGGGGGGTTCGAGCTGTGATCCCTGTGTGTGAGAGAGTCCTGACTGGGCCCTTCCTGACCACAACAAACCACAGTACACAGCTGTGCTGGAGGGCTAACAGGCCTCAATGGACGGGGGTCAATACAAGCTCTGAGGGGACCGACGCATACCAAATCAGGGGGGAGCAGAGGAGGGGAGAGAGGGGGCGCTCTTTTCTCCTCCAGAGCAGAACTTCAATTTTAAAGAGTTATTTTAACACTAGATGTACATTTGCGCTATAAAAACCTCAACTTCCGGTTTGACAGTTAAGCGGAAACCAATGGGAAGTCCTCGCGCGCTCGACGGGGACGTAAACCGGGGAGAACCGGAGCTGCAGTACCCGGTTCTGGGACTTTTGGGAGCCGGTCCCTCACATTGTTCAAGATCCCTCCTCCTGCTTGGGAAGTGGGAGGACCCGAAAAGGCGTTCCAAAAGGGAGAATTGTTTGAGAGCTCAGTCATCCAAAAACGGCCTTTCAATGTGAGAACTTGGGGAGCCGAAGAAGAAGAAGGAGGCGAAGAAGAAGAAGAAAATGTCGGGTGGCACTGCAGTAAATTACTGAAGCAGCGAAGGCTTTAGAGCGAAAAAGGGGGGAAAGAAGAGAAATAAGTCTGTTTTTTGGGGGACTACGACTGAGAAGAGAGGCAACAAGAAGGTGGAGTGAAGTGAGAGTAAAAGTGCAGCAGTTTTTGGTGAGTTTTTTTTTACCATCATGCGGTCCGTGTTGTTGTGGCGCTATGCTACGTATTAACATATAATGCAGTTATTCACAATATATTCACTTTGGGTCGAGTTTAACGCTAGTTAGGGCTTTTTATTCCCTGAACTACTGCATTTATTTTAAGAAAAGCTATAATTTTGGAAACTTCACATCCAGTTGATGATGCTACTTTAGCTACATTTGTTTCCCCCCACTTTGCTCATAACTTTATCCATCACACGCGTTAGCGTTTAACGCTTGTCTGGTTTTGGTCGCTTTTAAAGAAACTTGTTGTCGGACTTAGCCTGTTATTGAATGGACGAACCCTGCGTTCATGTTATTAACCAGGTTTTCCTCATTTCCTGCCTGTGTTTGCGGTGGGTCACCGCACAACGCCTGTTAACGGAGAGACATCATCTCAGTGCGACACGGTGCAGAGATTTAAAGCTGTGTATTAAGTCGAATACGTGTGTTTTTTGTTGGGAAATGTGTCCATGGTTTGGTTTGGTTTGGTTTGGTTTGGTTTGGTATGGTTTGGTATGGTTTGCAGGCCGCAGCCTATAGTCGTTTCTACAAGGAAAGGGAAAACGGACATGGAGACCTTCTGCCAGATTCACCCCCATGAAGATGCTGGGAAGCAGAATAAAGTAGTGTTTACTATTAAAAACAAGGTTTCTGTTGAAAAAAAAATCACAACTACACTATTTTTTTTCTGAGGAATGTCACGTTTATGATATTTAATTATAAATTGCAGCTCCTGATTTGCTCATTTGCGTCGTCAGGTCCTAAATTTTCAGGTTATTTTCATCAGTTTGTTCCATTTTAGTTTCTTTACTATCCATTTGACACACACAAAAAAAGTCCAGGATTACTACTATTACACTCCACATACCAAAGCATGGCTACCTGAGTGCACTCCTCCCATCACCCCACAGTCCTGGTGTCAGAACGACCTCATTAAAGCTTGTAATAAACTGGCAGCTGTTGGATCTGTCCTATAAGATTTGTCTGTTGTTTCAGGAGAATCTCTCTGCATATCATCCTCTCATTCAGGTCTGATTTAACGAGGAAAAAATAAGATGTGTCAGTCTCTTAGGCTGCTAATGAGTGTTGGCCAGGGTGTTATCACGGGGCCTGCTGGAACAGCCGCAGGGGCTCAAGTTTCCAACCCCAGGTGTCGTTTTGTGATTTGGATTACATTTAGCCTCTGCTGGCTCTTTGCGCGGAGCAGTTCAGTGACAGACATGGCATCGTACAAGAGGGCCCGATTGTTCCCACTGAATCAATGTCACTTGGATTAAAAGTCGAAAGTAATGGCCTTGCCTCCCCCAATTAGGCTCACAGCCTATAAGCAAATTAATTGGTCTCGGTTATATACAAAGAAAGGGCCCATTTTGTTTGGTTGCTGAGTTTGTTGTTTTTCTTGATCATCTTTGACAGGCGGGTGGATCAAAGTTAAACTAAATGATTATGTGCCCGTTTCTCACACTGCCTGGTCCCTTTCATTCGAACGAACACGAGTTCATAATCTCACTGCAAGTCTAAAGGAATTCTATTGACACCTGTCAAGTCACATTAAGAAAATACATTTTTCTTTTTTTAAATCAGCATATGAAAACAATCGAAAGGCTTCCAGACTGCTAAAGCAACAAAAAGTCATTTACGTATTTTCCCATGTGAGGTTTAATTGCTGTTTTTGGTCAGTTCTTGGAGCTTTTCATCAAACCAGATATCATCTTCAGCTTTGAGAATGTTTTCCTTTTATTTTTAGCTATGTAATAGGTAATGATTGTCAGATAGTGAAAAAAAGATAGCTTAGCAATATAGTGCATTTTGATCAAACACGATTTTAGATGTGTATCGCCTAAAGCTACAGTTTAAAAATTGGCTAAAGTTTACCTTAAAAGCCTTACCAATCGACTTGAGCTTCAATGGCTTTAGATGAAAATCTACATGTTTAAATAAGTTTGTGACTGATGGTTGTCTTAATAATCTATGTTTGGCTTGACACTTTCTGACAAAGCCTTGTCCAACTAAGATATGACATTTTATTGATTTTAGTTGCCTACCAAAGAGACAGTGGAGACAAAATCTCCAAGTTTTAGACTGTTTCATTAGTGGCTATTGGGCACTTTTTATACAGCTTATAGGAACAGACATTTCAGAGTCAAGAGTTTCTTCATTTGTCATTCGTACCACATGTGGTACATGTGGTGGAACAAAATTGTGTACACAGGGTCCCAGTTACATCCAACAATAAAATGTAAAAATAAGAACAGTAATAAGATCTAAGATATGAACTAAAAAAAATGGTAACTAAAAATACGCTAAGCACTAGTAGCATAAAAACAATACGCTGAACAGCAGCATGAACATGAGTCTGTGTGAGCACTTGACCACGAATGAACACAGCAACATGAAATGGATCAGCAGCAGCATGATGTGATTTTTCACAGTGATTATCCTGGTTAGAGATTCATGAGTCTTAACAGCCTCAGGGTAGAAGCTGTTCCTCAGTCTAGTGGTTCTACACTTAATGTTCCTTAACCTCCTTCCTGAGGGGAGCGGGCAGAAAGTGTGTGTGCTGGGTGAGTGGGGTCCTTCATGATGCAGGTGGCCCTCTTCCTACATTTGGAGGTGTAGATGTAGATGAGGTGTAGATTTCGTAGCTTGTAAAGATTTCATGATGTGTTTTTAGGTCCGTAACCAACTGAAATAAAGTTTTCAACTCATATTTGAGTGATTTTTGCATTTTCGGCCCTCGTCTGGTGTGTTTTTACATCTGGATGTAAATCATGGTCTACTAAATCCACCCTTTAAATTCAGTATAACAAACAAGCCTTGGGTTTGCTGTTACTTCTTGGAGCTTGTGTTTGTGAGTGAGCAGTTCTGATTTAACGGAAAAGAGCATTGTTATTATTGTAGGTTTAACATTGGCGTTAACTGACAAAAGAGGGGGGAAACTCCTTCCTGAGGGTATACTTTCATCTCCCTGACAGTGGGTATGCTCATGCAGTCATAACAACCTGCAGACAGAATCTGTGGGCTTTTGCTGCGTGTGTGTTTGTGTGTGTTAATCGTCGAATCGAGGCCATCTCTGCACTGGAATGCATCACTTGTCATTTTGGTCCAAAGCTGGCCTCACCTGACCAGTTGTTTTGAGATTAACACATTAGCATTTTCCTTTCTGAGTTACAGTAGAGTTGTTTTCAGAAACAAGCAAGGAACACAGTCATTGCCAAATAAGGCAGCTTCATTTTTACCCTGGCTGTCATTATTGGCCTGTTGACATATGATGCTTTAGCCTTCCAGCACTGACAGATTGGAGGCTCGGGCTCTAGCCCTTGTGCCTCCTGAGAGAGTTCCTGTGTCCAGTCAGACATAGGATGACTTAAAAGGGACACCTGGACTGGCAGGTGGCCAGGGTTCAGGCCCCTCCCTGGGGCCAGCATACCTCTATTTTCTTGATCCTCCTGCCAGCGGGGACCGCAGAGAGGGAGACCAAGGAATGTGTTGAAAAGAGGAGGGGGAGACGGTGAAGGAGAAAGTTCTGACACAGTTTGAGGAGTTTATTTAGCAGGTTGTGATCAAACAGATCATTATATTAAAAAACAAGGTAAGATAAAATGATTTCTATTATAAAATATATAAAAACCATCATCACAGTATCAGTGTGTTCATTACCAGTAAAGTCCAGTAATTTGGCCAGTCTGATGAACTATCCTACCCATGATCACCCACAGCATGGTCCACACATGCAAACACTTTTTTTGTAAAACAGTCTTTATATTTGTTATTTTCTAAAAGTATCCTTTTAGACATGGCACTATTTCTCTAAAAAATTTTCATACACCCAGAAACTCTAAAACGACCCAAAACGCCAGTGGAACTATGCCATGTTTTTATGGAACGTTGTCTTTTCGTGGCAGCTTTACGACGTCGGACACAAAACAAGGTGTGGAGCATGCACATAAAGCTTGCACGCTGGGTGAAAAATGTAAATGCAGGAGGCCAACACTCATGGGTTGTTTGTTGGATTAGTGGTGAGGCTATCAGCGGGTTACGTTTTGACTGTCTACACTAAAACAAGGGTGATGTTTCACCACATTGTAAGACTTATTGGGAAATTATGCTAGTAGGAATTATTTGTAAAATTGGTTTTATTTCTGGAGATCATCTCAGGACCCCAAACCTGGTGTTTTGTCCTGACCTCACCTGTGGGAACCATTGCCTTAGATGATAGTTGCTGAGATGTTATAACACACATTGTTGTGAGAAGATTGTGACTTTATCACTTTTGTTACCGCAGCAATATTTAACAGTATTATCACACATATTTTTAATATCGATGCAAAAATATTTTCTTGCAAAGCACGGTTTAAAATAGTAAACTAGTATGTATTAAAGTTGCAATCACCTGAAAAACATTGTATTATCTTAAGAGGGATTATCCACAGCCTTTAAACCAGTTGAGTTGATTTCTTCTACTTAAAGCAAAGCATAACGAAGCTCTTAATTGGATAAAGAAGTTACTCCAGTCATTCTCTTCGCACTCTTTCTCCCACACACAAACATGCAAACACACAGTTTGATTGCTGTGTTTGCAGCGTTGGATCATTGATCAACTCCAGACTCTGCAAAGAAAGCTGTGTGTGTGTGGACAACTAAGCCTCTGTGTGCAAAGTAGATATTTGGACAAAGATTAGGGGGTGTTTTTACGAGCCAAAAGCAACCCAGACGCTCTAATAGATCATTCACACAGACGCTAGGTTGTACTCTGACTGGGACTGTTCAGTTTTAGCCTCACAATAATTTCCCCCCCTCTTTTAAACTATTTCCATCATGCACACTTATAAAGGTTTGTAGTTAATTTGCTGTCCAGATGGAGTATTAATGGCACATTGTGTTTTTTTTCCCCTCCATGATTTTAAAGAGAAACAATAAAAGCATCAAAAAGACATGTCAGGGAATCTGGGTTGTGTTCCAGGCTTT